AGCCAGACCCCCCCAGTGAGGCCTGGCAGGGCTCAGGGAGCCCCACGCCGGGTGCAGCACAGCCCAGCTGGTGACACGGGTGCCCCCACAGCGGGAAGAGCCACCATCACCCAAGCACCCACCCATGGCAGGGAAAGCCATGGATGTGGAGCCAGATGCCGTCATACACAGGGAAGAAGGTGCTCAGCACCCCCACACACATCTGCTGCTGAGAAAACATCCTCCCTTCCCAGCTTTCTCAAACTCCTAAAATAATTTAATCCTGATCCCCAAGAGGCACTGTCCCACTGCCTGCTGTGGGAAGTGTCCCACAGCATCCCCATGCCCCACACTGGCCTCCCAGGAACCTGCCATTTAGCTGCTGTAGGGAATTTTATTCCGAGCAGTTAGCCCAGCATCCTAGCTGGGACCAGCCTGGGAATGCTCAGTCCCACACTCCCTCTGCTAAGCTTCACATGTCCCTTCTGAAAGGAGCATTTCTTAATTAATATTAATACTCTGCATCATGTCAGATCTTCTCATGTATTTACGCTCCCTCCCTGTCCCTCTTCCAGCAGCAAGGCTGGGCCCAGGCTACCGGGTGTTCCTGAGCCGCCATCCCGGTGTAGCTGTAATGGATTGGTGACACCGTGATATTTATGGGTATTTCAAGAGAAAGAAAAAGGCTACTGGGTGTTCGTATGTTCTTGTTGTATTATTTAAGAGAAGCCATTTGAGAGCACAGGAGCAGCAGTGTCTGCTCCCAAAAGGAGGAAAAATAATGGAGGGGAATATTTGCAAAAAGCTCAGTTAAGTAAATATTTTATGCCCAATAATGTTATGGCTTTTGAATGATGCATGCAAGAGAGTTGAAAGGAGGTGAGGCACAGAGCGAGGCAACATGCAGTGCGTGCTGAGTGTGAAGGTGTTTGTGCGGGGGGAGGCAAAGGAAAACACCGTGCCCCGGCTGGTGCCTGCTGGCAGAGGCAGCACAGCAGGGCAGGGCTGCTGCGGCTGATGGACTGACAAAGCCCTTTTGCTGCAGAAAAGTCAGAGCTAACCCCACAGGGAGGGTCTGCCCCAGGTGGGTGACACCAGCTGATCCCTCTCCTCATCTGGTACCAGCCCCAGGCAGTAACAGCAAGAGAAACTGGCACCCCCCGGCCAAGCCTGCAGCAGGCAGGAGCCCTCCCGGCTCTCGAGAAGCTCTGTGCTGTCTGTAGGACACATCCAGGACGCTCCTAGTGAGCTGCACCCCAGACAGCCGAGGTACTCCAGCAGGGCAACAGGACCACCCCAGCAAGGCAGGGCAGCCCTGCAGGTGATGGGCTCTGGCAAGCTGGGGGGACACCACAGTGAGGAGGGAGGCACAACCAGGCTGGAAAGAAGTTTAGTGCCCAGTACCTGGCAGTGCAGCGGAGGCATTGGCCAGATGCAGAAGGAGCCATGCAAAGGCAGGGCACAGGACAGGGGGTCCCAGGAGGCTCACAGCCCCGTGAAGCATTGGGAACCACGGTTGCCTTGTTGCTTTGCTCAGGAGAAAACCAGACCTGGAAGGAGCATGTGGGAGCAGGGACCAAGCGACAAAACTGGAAGGCAGAGGGATTGCCCTGGCCCAGGAGGAAGAGGCAGGCAGGGAAAGCAGAAGGAAGGGCAATTGGGCAGAGGTGGTGACCAGGGGAAGGAGAACAGGGCCAGCACAGGGGAGGGACGTTTCTCTGACCAGAGGAATCCTCCCAGACAGGCAGAAGCCCAGAGTGAGCATCTGGCACAAGGAAAGCACAGAAAGGAGTAAAACCCCATTAAGCGCAATAAGAAATGTACTTAATCAATGAGCTCTGGTGCTGAGATCAATGGGAGGCAGACACAGCCATTAGCTGAGCAAGCTGAGAAAGAGCCCCAGGCTCCGACAGAGCGGTCGATACCGGGTTTCACTGAGCAGCAGAGGAGGGGTCCCAGGTGGAGAGCAGGGCCGGGCTGCAGCCACAAGACTGGGCTGACCCTGCTCTGCTCCTCGGGGCTCAGACCCCCAACTGGGAGCAGAGAAAGGAGCCCAGCCCCAGCCTGCTGCAAAACCAAGTGCTGAGCCCCGAGAAGCACCACAGACTCCGAACTGGACACAAGCAGGAGTGATAAGGGTGTGAGGGGATGGGACTGCTGCTGGCAGGGAAGAGAAGGGACTGGAGCCCCTCGTCACCCTCCAGGGACATCACTTGGCTGTGGAGAGCAACAGCAAGGGTTTAGCCAGGGGCCTTTGTCCTGCAGACCACAGGCTGCAGGAACTTCAGGTGTTGGTCCTTGGTGTGGGCCCAGCCCAGGAGGGTGCAGAGGGCTATGGGCATCCTGGGGAGCTCAGCCAGAGCAGAAGAGACATGCAAAGCCTCACTCACACCCTCGCTGCCCAACAGAGCTGCCTCTTCAGAGAAGGGACAGCTGCAAAGCAGTCTTCCTCACTGCTCTCATCCCTGTGCCCCTCTCCTCACCTGGAACACCATGCTGGATTGCTCCCCAAGGGCTGCCCATGAAAGAAGCACAAACTAGATGGCAAAGAGGTCACCCTCCCAAGGAGGTGTTGCACCAGCCCAGGTAAACAGAGCTGCTGCTGCGTCAGGGCTTGTCCAAGCCCCAACCTTGAGAGATGCCCTAGTGCCCCCCTTGACCCAGCGCATTGGAGCCCGTCCGGGTGGTGCCAGCGCTTGGCTGAGTCACCACACACGGGGCTTCCTCAGGAAAGAGTCTTGATTTTCAACCCATGAGCAAATTTAGCGCTCGCAAAGGCAGACAGCCCCAGGCAGCGAGTGGGCACAACCTGCGGGTCTCGCAGACAGCACTGCAGCTGACTCAGCCCTGGCACCGAGATCCTGCCACGCCACTGCCCTGGGCTCCACCAAACACCCAGCATCTCCAGCCAGCCCGACCCCAGCACTGATCTCCAGCTCTGTGCTCGCTTCACAGGTCCTGCAAGGCTGTCACCCTCAACCCTGACCCCTGCTGCTCCCCTTCCCACACTTGCTGACACCTGATGGGCACATCCTGATCCAAGCCAAGCCGGCAGAGCAGAGCAGCGCCAGCGCCCATCTCCATGCAGGGCAGCCTTCGGGGACCAGGCACATAGGTCGTGATGTCTCAAGGGCATTAGAGCCCGCGGTTGATGCTTGAGGCAGAGTTTCAGTACGTGTCAGTGAGGAGCAGGAGGAAAGCGGCTGTCCCTGAGGTCCCCCCTGGAGGGTGGGCTCCCTTCTCCCACCGGGGCT